AAAAAAAAAAAAAAGGAGCGAGAATTACCATGGCTGATGTGAAGCTTCCGCATCCAAGGGAATATTTGCGGAGTCTGCCCCTCGGGCGCGGCTGTGGAGGTGGCCATGGGCTCTGGCTGCGCCCGAGCTAGGCTCGGGCTGCTTAGCTGGCTCGCCGCTTCCTCTGGCTCCGAGGACGCGCTGGCCTCGTCTATTTCGGTGAAATTGGCGCTGGAGCTGGCCGGGGTCGCCTGGTCGGAGGGGGACGAAGCAGAGGGCTTGGTGCCGTGGCTGTCGCCGTTGGAGCAGGGCAGGGACTCAGGCGAGGACAGGGAGCAGCTCGACGCCGCTTGCCTGAAGCGGGGCTCCTGGGCGGGCGCGGGGAAGGCGCGCGAGCTCTCGCCCACCGCCCCAAAGTGGCTGGAGGAGGCCGAGGAGCGGTTGACGCTGAGGTCCATCCCATTGTAATTGTAGCCGTAAGAGCCGGTGTGCATGGCAGCGGGATCCCTGTAAGAGCCGCTCAGAGAGCTGCCACTGCCATAATTTAGCAACTGATAGTCCGGGCCATTTGGATAACGCCCCGAGAAGGAGTTTACAAAGTACGAGCTCATTTGGGTGATTTTGGAGGGCTTGATTTGTGGATCGTGGTCGTTATAACCCTGTGCTTCACGATTTATGATGTATTAATGAATTATAGCGATGCACTGTACTTCGTTTTGCTATGTATGCGGCCAAATATGGGGGGGGGTTGGAAGGGGGATGGGGGGGCGTTAGGGAATCACGTGCTTTTGTTGACCAGTCGTAAATTCTCGCTGATGACCTCAAGAGGTAATTCATGCTCTATGGTTACAAATAATGACGATCCGAGAATCGTTAGGGCCGATTCAATGCGAGCCTCCGAGAGAGGCGGAAAAAAGGAGAAGGGGGAGAAACCCGAGAAGGTTGGCGGCGGCCACTGAGCAGAGCGCGCCACCTCCCGGCGATCGGCGGGAGAGCGGGCCACAAACTGCCATGGCGCCGGCGGCCGCCTCCCTTCTGCCTCCCTGCAACCGCCTGGAGAAAGAAACCTCTGGCCGAGGCTCACCGACAGGGCTGAGCATTTTAGAGAAGGACCCCGGTTGAGCTTCTTACTCAAGTTCTTATTATTTTGGTGTGTTAGTCTTTCTATTTGGTGTCCTTCCTCCTGTTCTTATGATTTTAAAAACACACAAAAACTCTGGCATGATGATCAAAGGTCGAGTTGCTTTGCCCCTACTCAGGCTTTGCAGGGCTCCGAGTTGGGGGTGGAAGTTGGGGGGGCGGGGTGGGGAAAAAACTAGACTGGAAGGTGGGTGTGAAAAACAATTATTGCAACTGGTTGTGCCCGTGCTTGGCCCGGCGGACTTCCTGGAGGGGCTGCAGTGCCGTTCCCAGCTCCCAGGCCGGCGAGCAGTGCTGAGCTGGAAGCTTGGAAGCAGCTTCCCTTTCCTTTGTGCCCTTCGGAAGTTTGGAATCCTCTTTCTGACCTCCTCGTCCTTAGTTTAGGCCCAGGGAATGGCAGAGCAGGACAGGGACCCGGAAGACGAGCACGGAGGGGGCTAAGCGGCCTAGTCTCAGAAGGATGGAGGTGGCCACGGCGTGGCGCCTGGTATTTGGATGAAATCATGCGCCTGAGAGTTTGGAGTCAAGGCGGGACCTCTTCGCCTCCTGGCCAGATGCCGGCTATTGCAGTTGGAGGCTCCACGCGAGGCCCCTCGCTCCGCCGGCCGTTGGGCAGTTTCCGAATTTGCTCGGCGGCCCACCACCTTCCCAAGGAAGGGATTCGGAAGACCTGGCGGCGCCTTGCTGGGCAAGCTGGGCTGGGCGGCCAGAGACCGCTGCAGCTGGGCCCCTTCTGCTGGGGCAGCTATTTTCTTTAAAAATAAAAAAGGGAGCGAGGGAGGTGGTAGAAAGGAAAACAGTGTCCGCAGCTTGCTGCCTGGGTGAGGGTGTGGGCGGCGAGAGAATGGGCCATGTCGACCCGAGGGGATGAGACCACCGCCCCCATCACCTGGCCTCCTGCCTTGGGGTCTCAGAAGAACAAGGGAAAGCGTGCCCTTCACCCCTCGCCAGCCCGCGCCTCCGGATTTCCCTGCTTGGCGCTGAGCTCCTACTTGAGACGCCTGAAGCCTTCAGCTGCCGGGTCTGGGGATAGCCCGTGGCCCCCACTCAGCTTGCAGAGCCACAAGCCGGGGAGCCGAGGGCTCAGGCCGCCGGAGGCCGGGCCATACGGGCGAGCCAAAGGCCAGGGCCTCGGCGAGCGTGAATCAGGCCAGAAAAGTGCTTCGGAGGCGTCGAGAGCCGCCGACCCGGTTTCTGCAGGAGCTCAGGGATAGGGGGCCTCAGTGGCGTCCCTCGTGCCGCGGGCAAACGAGGAAAAGCTAGCCAATCAAATGGAAACGGCCCCCTAGGCCCCCCAAGTCTGCCCCCAGAGAGGCCGTGCTGAGCCCCAGCACTAGCGGGGCGCGGCCCGGGCCCAGAGGGACCGCTCCAGCGTTTATCTCAACTGCAATTTCCGACTCACGTCCGGCGGGTCCGCTGGGGAGGCCTTGGGGCGACCAGGGCTCCCGCCTTTGCTACCGAGTTTCCGGCTTGGGGAAGAGAGGGTGGCTGGGGGGGCGGTGGAGAAAAAAATGACAGGGGAGGAGCAGAGGTGACTGAGCGGCGAGTTTTCACGTCTTTATTATTATTATTATTATCATTATTAATAATATTAATATTATTACCGAAGTATTTCACGTCCAGAGCTAAGACAAGACTACAAACACAACACATAGAAAATTAATAAAATAGAACTTTGTTTTCTTCTGAGGCTCCTCTTCTTACTTCTAGGTAGTATGTGCTCCTTCCAGTGGCTTTGGGGAGGGGGTGGGAGAGACGACAGGTCGGGGTCAGGGAGTCTTCGAGGCCCCGCTGAGGGGACAGCGAATCTACCATTGAACCGTGCACGGGGGACATAGACGACACGAGGAGACGCGACACGGACAAGAGCATTTTGCTTTGCTTCCAGGAAACACCAAGTGAGTCAGGTCCGCAGTTCTCCCGGGGAAGCCTGATGCTGCCGAGGCGGGCTCCGGGGAGGGGGCGCAG